TGATGTCATCGTCTGAAGATGGCTGAAGGGTGAGACTGAAGCCGCTAGATAAATTTTGTTTTTCAGTTTATTAATGGAAGAAGCGGTTAATTCCTGTTGATTTTCTGTTGTTCTTTGTGTTGTGTGTTTAATGACATTTTCTGTGCCGGCTTTGTTGGGACTGCAGAGTTATATTAGTTACGAAATCAGTTCAGGAAGTGTATTTGTTTACAAAAACATAGCAATGCTAGCGTTAGCATGAGCTGTTTAGCTTTAGCATATGGACATTTAAACGCGACAGTAAGATCGATTACGTGATATACATTGATATTTATTTGTATCAGCATGTTTCAACCTTAAAAATATATTTTAGGGTGTTTTTTAAATAAACTGCCATGCATTTCTTCGCCAGTTGACGTTAGCTAACTCGTCATTACGCTAGTTTTCATGGCTACCAAACAAACCTAGAAAAAGTCAAGCTGAGAGTCCAAGATCATAACTAAACGTGCCTTCACAGTGTTTCTCTTGCATTCACAATGCCAGTGCTTTTTTGGCTGTGAAAACCGGATAACTCTGTAATATCTGTCACATATCTGGTCACAGAGAAGGCTGGTGGGGAGGCTGGCTTCAGCAGAGTTTCCAGGCCGTCAAAGACAAGGTAATCCTCACAAACAAGCAAACTGCTGCTCTGTTAAGTATCTGCCAACGAGTTCAGTGTGTTTGAGAGCTGATACTTTATCAGAGTTTATTTAACTGTCTGTATCAGACTGTCTGCTCAGCATAATTTAGGCAGCTGCTAAGCAAGATTACAGTCAGATGGAGAAGAAAACTGTCTTACATACAATTCTGAGCTGTAATCTGAGCTGGAGATGTCAGGAAAGATAGGTGTAACAGGGAAATGCACATCTCACGTATGCTGTGTTTGAACATGTGGTGAACAACTTGAGACGTCCACAATTCTGAAAGCCAAACGTCAAACACCAGAGCCTGTTTGGCAGCATTTTAGTCACGTATTGTTATGAGTGTAAACAACTCTATGTTGTTTAAGTTTAACATCCACATCACAGTCTCTGGTGCACTTTAGTCAGTGTGAAACTCTCTCTGGTGAAATGCTTTGATATCTCTGTAGTCTGACTTTGAGTCTCTGTTTGTCAGAATAAGCCCTGAAATTTCTCCTGTAAACACGATTGTTGGCCTTCAATTAATGACACATTTTCTGACGGAGAACCCACTCATAGATGTTTACCAGTAGCATTCTGCTTTTTGAGATTTAAACGTCTCCCATGTCTTATCTTATACTTATATTAGTTATTTACGGTACCGTTGAGCAGAAAATAAGTGTTACGATATTCCTTATTTTGATAATACGTCTTTATCTGGATTTTGATATTGTTCTTCTGATTTTCTACATGCAGTCATCTGAGGCCTTAGAATTCATAAAGCGAGACCTGACGGAGTTCTCCACCGTGGTTCAGCATGACACGGCCTGCTCCATCGTTGCCACGGCAACCGCCGTCAGAAACAAACTCGCTGTAAGTGTCAGTCAGCAGTAATCAAACGGTCGAAATCTGACTCTTTTGGTTCACTTCAGAATCAGAAATCAGAATCAGAAATACTTTAATAATCCCAGAGGGATCCTTTTGCTGCTTTCCAGGTGGAAGGGTCTTCGGACACGACGGAAAAGGTGAAGAAGGGCCTGTCTAGTTTCTTAGGGGTGATAACGGACACGCTCGCTCCACCCCCGGATAAAACCATCGATTGTGATGTCATCACTTTGGTGGCGACGCCAGCAGGAACCACAGAGGTCTACGACAGCTCAAAGGTGGGAACCGAGTTATAGGATTATTGGACAAACTGGCAGATTATTGGACAAACATGCATTGCTTCACTGTTGTTGCTACCATGACAAAAAGAAGCCGTGTAATAAATGGTGCTTTCTAGGGATGTCCCAATCCAGCTTTTTTCACTTCCGATCCGATACCGATCCGGGCCTATCAGAGCATGTATTAAAGTCTAAAGTTATTTATTCTACTTACTTAGTTGTCAGACTCGCGTTGAACAGGGATTTACTCCTATAACAACTTAATGGTTAGGACACAGACCTGTGGGTTAGGAGATGCTAATGCTAATGCTAATGCTCGTGTGGGATCGGACTTATAAAAAGAAACTAGATCTGGAGTCTGGATTTGCATACACATTTTTTGGGAATATCGGCGGCCGATTGGATCCAGTTGGTTTGACTGATGTAAATACTGAACCTCACTCAGACGGACTCAAGCAAAGGATTGTTAGTCAGTTTTTGAACAGTCAGTGCACTTCTTAAACTGACTTGGCTCTAATCTTGTGGCTGAGTATTGTATTTTTCGCCGGTTATTTTTAGCTGTATTGTTAAATTCCCTGCCAGAATTTGCACGTCTCGTTCAATGAAACAGAAAGCTGTGAAAGATGGGAAAACTCCTCCAGTGTGGCTCCAGCTGAAAAGCTTTTGGGATTCCCTGAGGAGCCGAGGGCTCCGTTTGGGTCCAGTTTGAACTTCAGATCTCTGTGGAACGAACCCACCTCTGAATGGATTTAAGGGAGAAAGTGAGCGTGTGGTGAGGATGTGGAGGTGAAACGTGTTTTTTGTTTTCTCCTGCAGGCGCGTCTCTACAGTCTGCAGGCGGACCCGGCGACCTACTGCAACGAGCCCGATGGTGAGTCATAGACCCGGGAACAGTTTTAAAAAAGAGCAGACACAGTTTTTTAAGGTGGAATCGCTTGTGTTAATGTCCTTTCCCATGTTCCTCTGTTTCAATTTGTGTTTTTATTCTGTCAACATTATATTAGATAAGATTTTCTTCCCCCCTAAATGCATCCAAACAAAAATAATAAAGCGATTCCCTTTAAAAAAAACATTAACAAGAGATGAGCAACTTTTAAAAAAGTTTTTCTAATGTTTTATAGGTCCACCAGAGCAGTTTGACAACTGGCTGTCCAGTTTCAGTCTGGAAGAAAAGAAGGGAGAAATCTCTGATCTCCTGGTCAACAGTCCCTCAATCAGATCCCTCTACACCAAAATGGTATCGTTGTGTTTTTTATTTTTTGTTTTTTTTACGCTCATTCCTCAGGAACTCAGACATCGAAAAAAAATCTGTCAGATAAAGAGGTTCTGTTCTTCTTGTGCCCAGGTGCCAGCTGCTGTAGCTCATTCCGAGTTCTGGCAGAGATATTTCTACAAAGTCTTCCAGCTGGAACAGGTACACAAACCAGTTTACTCAGAGGTTATGAAGCCAGTTCAGGACTTTGTGTTTGGTGCCCCCTGCTGGTCGTTTACGGGGCTTGCACAGTCAAAAATGTAGCTTCAGCTCTAACTTAATGACTTGTGTTCTCCATCATATATCTGAAATGTGAAGTTTGATGACATTGCTCGTTTAAAAACTTTGCTTGTGGTTATTTAAACTGTTCACATTATAAAGCAGCTGCAATTTGAAACGGTGGATTGATAAACTAAAGTGCTGTTTTGTTAATTTGATGTTTTGATATGTATGTATTCAAACACACATTGGTATCCAGAATAACATTTCTAATCCTAATGGTCCCTTTTTCTGTTATGCATTCAGTCTGCACGTTATTAACTCATTGACTGCCAGCCATTTTCAGAACAGAGTCCCATACTGGCAGAGATTTTTGAGCATTTTGACTGATTTTTCAAGAGCCACAAAATAGTTTGTGCTATGACTATGTAAACACCGAACACACCAAAAGAAACAGTAGACTCTCTTCTTTCATCAGAACAAAATTTTTGTTTCTACCTTATTCCGTTCTTCCTGGACTTGCGTCTCACCGGCGACATGTTCTCTTATAGAACCGTTACCTTTTTCTTATTTGCCTACAGTCTATGCTCATCTCCCATCAAAAGTGGCACTGCCACCTAGAGGGTCAATTTGTTACTACATACTCTATCTAGAAGCCTGATATTTACGGACAAGCTTTAGCAGATCGTCCCCCAGACACTCTCGCTGAAAAACATTAAAGACGCCTATAGACGTCTTTGGCAGTCAACGGTTGTATTTGAATTGACGTCTATAGACGTCTTTGGCAGCCAATGAGTTAAACGATGAATTGATAAACTAAAGTGGTGTTTTGTGAATATGATGTGTCCATATATACGTATTCAAACACATGTTGGTATCCAGAATATCCATTATAATCCTAATGGTCCCCCTTTGTGTTACGCATTCAGTCTGCATGTTATTAACTATTTTTGATGGATAAATACAACATGGATTTGTCTTTAGTCAGAGTTACTTCTGCTCATAGCAGTGAGGCTCAGTTTTCCTGGTTTGCAGGAGGAGGCGAGGCGAGTGGCGCTGAAGCAGAGGGCGGAGCAGAGCGCGCACACGGAGAGCCTGGGCTGGGAGGAGGAAGAGGAGGGTGAGCCATATTCATATATATTCATATATTCATGCATTTGGCAGACGCTTTTATCCAAAGCGACTTACAGGGTAGAGAGGAGGTGCATTGGCCGGGAATCGAACCCGGGTCAACTGCTTGGAAGGCAGCTAGACTTAGACTTAGACTTAGACAGTACTTTATTGATCCCTTGGGAAGACTCCCTCAGGAAATTAAGGTTACCAGCAGCTTAAAGGGCAAACAGTGTCAAGTTAGAATCAGTTTAAGCAATAATATACAAATAAATAAATAAAAATACAAAAAATACAGATTAAGTACAGTGTATGTGTATGTGATCTCTCTTCCCCCTGTCCTGTGTCACCTCCTCGACCCCAGTGAGGCGTTGTACAGTTTGAAAATCTTGAAGGTTTCTGCTAGCAGAGGATGGTATGCTATGCTAACCATTACACCGGCTGCCTCTGACTCTTTTGACCCGTTTGGCTTTTCGCTTTTTCTCAGACGACTTCCTGGGCTCCGCGTCGCCGTTTCGGCTGAGCTCCGCCTCCTCCGCGCTAAGCCCCGCCCCCTCCCCGCTAAGCCCCGCCCCCTCCCCCGGCGAGGAGCGGGAGGCCACCCCCTCGGTCAGCAGCGACAGTGTGAGCCTGCCCACGCAGGTGGAGGTCGCGGTGGGCGGGGCCAATGTGGGCGGGGCCAATGTGGGCGGGGCCAATGTGGGCGGGGCCCACGACACTAAAGACGAGCAGAGACCCCAAAAAAGTGACTTGGACCACGAGGCTCCGGCAGATTCTGTAAGGCAGCCAGAGGCCCCGCCCCCTTCCGCCAAACAGCCCGAACCCTCAAAAGAGGAGGGGCCACAGGACCTTAGGGTGTTTGAGCTGAACTCCGACAGTGGGAAGTCGACGCCCTCCAACAACGGAAAGAAAGGTTTATGTTTTTATGTTTCTGCATTTGGCAACTTACAGTGTAGACACAATATTACATTTCTCATCACCATGACAATAAGCTATCCAGAGGAGAAACACTGATCAGAGTCAGTGGTGAGATAGAGATAGAGGTAGAGGGACTACAGAAGGAGCTGTGGGGGGTAGAGGTACGGGTTG